CTTCAAAGTTATTAAAAAATTTAGCGATGTCGGAGGTACGTTAAAAATTACAGTTCGATTAAAGAAAAAGTGATTCCTTGTTCAAAAGTAAATTGAGATTTTGATAATTTTGTTGGACAAGGTTATTTTTGAGAAAATTAATTTGCAAAATTTACCGAATGTACAGGAATTTGTTATTAATGGTCTGGATTATATGCTTATGAAAACATGATCAAAAACATCATCTGTATGCATAAATAAAAGTTATTTTGCTGTTAATGACGTAATAATTGTTATCATATGATGTAATTATTGTAATCATAAATTCAGTAATGGAAACAGCAGATCATTAAAGGAAATTAAGATGCTTGAACACGTCGAAATGAATTTATACAAAATAGGACAATATATGGGGTGTCTTTTTTAACTGGATAAGGTGTAATATCTCAGAAGGAACTGAAACTGTCGAAACAATGTTCTTACAAAAGTCGCTTGGTATGATGGGGGACATAATGTGGTATAAATAGTTTTTCTCAGGTGAAATAATTTTACGGTCAAGTGTATTTTTTTCAATGGAACGCTATGTTTTTCTGTTCTTAATATTATAGCGTTTGTTGAAACGAATTCAACGAGGTGCCACATTAAGTCGTTTCAATTTATAGAAAGTTGTAAAATCGTAGAGAAGTTGTATTAAAGCAGCGTTTAGCTGGCCAAAGGCGTGCGACATGTACAGTAAATTCTCTACAAGTGTCAGTCAGTTTGGATTCTACAAGTGTCAGTATAGATGGTCCTACGCCTAGGTCTGCGTCATTGCTGCGCCTATGTTATCTCGCTCGCTGTCAGTCAAGCGTGTAACGCTACACCACTCGGTTTCTTTTACGAGATTTCACGGCTCGACAATAATAGAAAAATATAATTTCCTTAATTTTACTTTTTTCCATCTGAAATTTTTTTTAACATGTTGGTGAGATTTTTCTGATGAAACTGATATCAAACACGATATAATTTGTCTGGCGTGACAGTGAACGTGTTAATAAGTAATGTTGTTCAAATTATGTCGTGTTTTATGTCATTTTCATCAGAAAAATTTCATTAATATGTTACGAAAAATTTCGGGATAAAAAAACGTAAAATTAAAAAAGTTGGTATTTAAATCGCTTGGTTGCTTCGACTCACGTTTCATCCTTATCTTTTATTCGCTGTCCTTGCCTACATTCGGCAAACTACAAAGGTGGGCGCCAGGCTCGAAAACGTAGTCCCTGGACTCTACAAGTGTCAGGTTTAGGTTCCTTGCGGACTGACACTTGTGGAGAATTTATTGTATATATTGATTTGACTTCCAAATTCTATTTTACGACTTTTCATAAAACGAAAAGAATATATACATATATAAAGCGTTCCATTCAAAAAAAAGGAACTTGCTTTGAAATTTCCCCCACTACATTACCCATGAAAAAATTATTTACACCACATTATGTTCCCCGTCAAACCACGCAACTTTTATAGGAACACTTTTTCGATAGATTCAGTTCTTTCTGAGATATTCTACTGCGTACAGTTAAAAAAGACACCCTGTAGAAGATCGAAATCAATACCGTATAATATGTAAGTATACTTCGTATGTATACGTTCCTTCACTTTGACGGTCCACATACTTTTTCAGGCATTTGTCACCATTCGGTGAAAAATTGCATTAACAAAATTTTGTATCATCATTACAATTTTATTTATCTTAACTAAAGCATTGAATTTGATCTAAGCCATCACAGTTACAATGTAGAATGCATAAAAGTTTATCAAAATGACCCACAGTATTAACATAAATGATGTTATAAACTTACATGAAGATTGATTTCGCAAATTTAGCATTGGGTGTTGGAAAAATAATATGCACCGAAAAAAATGTTCTAAAATATTAACATCGATAAGTGTAGATTAAATGTACGACTACTTATTCAATAATTATTTTACAATACCAATTTGGTTTTGTGCAAGGAATCATTTATTTATCGATTGTAATATAATTTGAAAAACAATATAAATTTATTTTTTTTACATTATAAGTTTAAGGGTATTTCAACGTATAAAAGTTTTTTCATACAAGGATGAGTTGACCAACCGTGCTTCATGAATTTCACGGTGAATTGCTGAGAATGCAACTTTCCAGAAATTTAATTCAAAGTTTTGGAACGTCTAGTGCGCTGCTCTCAATTTCTGCTATATATTAGGGTGTCTTATCGCAAGTTGTGCGCTCTACGTTATTAACAATATATCAGGTGTTTGTACATAAAGGTGTACTTTTAATTCACAATGGAATGCTTTACTTGAAATTTTCTTCAGGGCATGTTTGATGGAAATCTCATAAACTGTATTATTTCTTGTCATCAACTCGATATGATTGGTTTTTTACGCTTACACACATAAGTCAAATTCGTTATCACTTAATTCTCCACATGACAATTATCTCGAAACAAATGAAACTCCATGAATGTTTTAAATATGCTAATAAGTATGGCAGTAAGTAATGTTATTAAAAAGTGGAATACATAACATAACAACGTTTCATCTAATTGAAGGATTTGCAACGAAATAATATCCATTTGTATTACTGTTCTCTGTTTGACAGAAAATATTTTCAAAAGTCGAAAAAAAAAGTTATTTAATGGTTTTTCTTACAATTCAATTTTCGCAAATATTGCAGTACAGATCAAGTCAAGTTCTTGAAATTTATGAAAAATTTACCGCAATGTTGTTAGCGTCTAGAATAAATATTCAATATGCTTCTATCGTTTCAATATCCGTTTGCGTACATTTCTTCGTACATGTTAATCAATAAGTTGAGGTTTTTTTAACTATGTCGCAACAATAGTGTCAAACTCGCTATTTCAATTTATTATTTTCTTTAAACATGAAAAGTTAAGTGTTGTATACCATATATCTTAAATATCTCCAATTTATTTCTTTTTCTTTAGAAATTTTCTGTCAGAGTGCTTCTTCTGTTAGACTTAAGATATCACTTACATATAACTCTAGATGATTTCGTCGTATTTATCTGCAACGTGTGAAAGAAATCAAGCTGTACTATGCATAATAGGCTATCACACGATAAGGAATACATAATTCTACATAGTTCTACATAATTCTAAAATACTTCAGCCATCCAAGACGAAGTTTGAATTAGTGTTTCATTAGTAACGTGTACATTTTTAGAAATACGTTAGATAAATAATGAGAAAACGCAGAATCCATTTTTTATTACTTGTATAATTCGTATATTATTTGCACACCCACATTTTGTTTTCAACATTTTAACTACTTATTTTTATATCATCTCGCGATATTACGACGTATTCCCTTAAAGCTGTGACAATATTGTTTACTCTTTAAGCTAGAAGAAACGATAAAAATGATATTGGTAATAAAAGATTTAAATTGATCGTCAATTTATTTCATGCAACATTTACGAAAAATGTTCGAGCACGTAATTTGGATAACAGTAAGCTTTCAATTTGTTACGACAAAATAGTTCAAAGACATTAACACTAACCTCACCACGTTTCGGTCAAACGACCGGTTTTTGAAATTTTGAAAACTAATTAAAAATTTTCTTTCTTCCTCGTATTTTGTTAAAAATAAAAATATGTAATTTTTTCTTCGTTCATTATTATCTAAAGGCTATTGTCTGCGTCTATATTGAATTCACGATCACCTGTGTATTTCTTCTCGGAAGAAATATGATTATTTCATAACACCTATTGTACCATAAAGTGACGGTACGGTTAGTGTTAACAAACTTTCTTCTCTGGTTGTTGAAAATCCTTCAATATCAATAATTGAAAATGAATGGAATGAATCGAACAAAAAAGCAATTACAACTTAGGTATCTAATCTTACCTTCCAAGAAGCTCATAGCATGCACATCTTCTCGGCTGACCCTCGTATATGCACGTATAGCAACTACTTTTATATTCATAACACACATTGTAACGTCGTTTTGCTGTCTTCTCGATCTACATTATACACGGTACCTTTACGTTCGAGTTTGAATTAGCATTTCTTCCATAAGGACTGAACTCCTCTAACAGCATTTACGTGCTACTAGATTAAACTAGAGCCCGCTTCTCCTTTACATATCCGTGATTAGAACTGTCTCTGCGAGTATCAACGTTTTAGAGCCGGAGTAGCGGCGAGGAAGGACTATCGCCAAGCCAAAGCAGCGACTACGAGGATCAAGAAGAACTAGAGAATCAACACTCGGCCGCCGTACACACAGTACGTGACATATACAAGTCCGCCTTTCACGAGTGTCTCCTTTCTACTTTCTGCTCTCTGTCGTTGTGCTGCTGCAGTGTGTTGCATGATTGTTGTTCCTTAGAACAAATGTCCCTTTAATTATGCTGTAGAGACTACTAAGCGGCGTGCATACAGTCACCACGGAAAGTAAGTTAACGCTCCCGCGAAGCTATTCAAATTGATGAAAAGATCGTGAACATTACGCTACTATGAGACGAGACGTTATTTTCGTTCGTTTTTTTATTTCTGCAAGATTCGTGTATTCGGTAGCGATTTTAGCAGAGTTTTAGGAATATTATATTTACTACCGATAATCACCGATTTTAATGAAATTTTTTTCTTGGCAATCGTCCACATCAAAGGAGTGAGAATCGCTCTCGAAATCGAGGGTAGTAAGCGTACTTATTGTTAGTGCAATATCTTGAAAACTATTAGTGACAGGGGGATGGTGTGAATTGACGAAATTTGTATTTCTGAACGACGAATGTGGCTGTGTAAACAGATTTGGAAAACCTCCATTTGTTTGTTCTACAAATTACAACTTTTTTCATGAATTTTTCTCGTAAAATAATTACAGATTTTGTGTAATACGAAATACGGATAAATCAGAATTCTGACTTTTCGCAAAATAAAAGAAACAATTATTCTTAAAATTTGCTCTAATTCTATGTTAGCCCGAGGCTTACAGCACGTTGCAAACAATAATTTACAGTTTCCTGTCTATGATGATTCTCGAATTTAATATTTTTCTGAAATTTAAAGAATGTGTTGTATAAATTTGCAATTGTAAACTTTATTAGCACTGTTTGATCTGTCGAAAAAGGATCGAGAGTATTTGAATTAATGTATGGGTTGAGAAATGTGTGACAGTGAACCGAGATCTGGACGAAAACGGCAAACATTAAGGCGGCAAAACAAATCAGTAGCCCGGGAAATAAGGAAGAATCTTTTAACAACATCTGAAGAAATAAAAGAAAATTTTGTTTTACTCACCCATTTAATGCAAGTATAGCAGAGGATAAGAGAAGCCGGACTTCATGGCCACGTGTGCCGCAAAGAAACAATTACACTTTTCGTATGAACACATAATATTATTTGGAGTGTTGAATAAAAATTCGAAATTTTCAATTAAAATCAGAGACAATACGTTTGGAGAAAGACTGGAGAAGCGTTTAAAATGGACAATCTAAAAACAACCGTGAAACGGGTCGGTTTTGATATGGAGGATCTTTAATTATTATTAACGTCAGACTAACAGCAATTAAGTACATAGAAATACTGAAAGATTTATTCAGTTCTGCAGTTAAAATCGGTTCTGGACGTAATTTTATTATATCGACAAGATAACGACCCCACACACGAAACCAAAATTATAATACTATTTCCTCTCAACCCTACTGAGCACATACGGGATCATTTAAAAAGAAACATTTTGGTAGAAAAAAACAAAAATACTTTGAAAAAAGAATGGCGTGGCACAAGTGCAGACGTAACAAGAAATTAATTTGCAGCATACTGAATTCTCTAAAGGCTATTATAGAAGCAAAAGTATATAACACTCGCTACTAATTCAAGTAAAATATGAAAAATTTTGAAGAAAATTTAAATCGTTAACTTACTTTCCGATGCTGTAACAATGGAAACACGTACTTTTTTTTTATTATACATTCTTAATTCTTTACGACTGAATCAACTTTGGTTTTATTTTGTATACGTTATATACGTTAACAAAGTTATACCGCTATTATTTACCTTGTATACCTTGAATTTATATGTTTGCCATTGATCGTTACCTTATATACTTTTCGTGGCGACTGTACGTACTAAAACGATGCATATTGTTGGCTTAGTAGAAGAGTAACGTCGGTTTCAACGTAGCTACTATAAGATAACCTTCTAACAATCTACTTCTAGTTATCCAATGGAAGTTTCTTTAAAACAATCGCTGGTTTATGGATTTGTAAATTTGCAAATTAATCATGTCGAATAATAACGAAATACATTAGCTGACTCCTGGAAAATAAAATTTAATTACGAAAGTTAACTGTATTTCGTTCTGGTAGGAAATTAATTACCGCTGAATCCAACAATATTGACAAACAAACAAAGCGCATTGCGGATTACTCTTACACGAAAGAACGATTATTTGTAAATAAAAAATGGACCGATAACGAAAACAATGGTCAAAAGATGTTGCGGCGGAATTATAAAATACTAATGTTATTCGTTCAAAAGAACAGTTTCATTGAACAGGAAACTGAATAAAGCATTACATTTTGTTTTAATCCGTAAAACGATGTTACATTTCTTCTAAATAATGTATTTTCATGAGTACTTGAAAAAACATACCGGGTGAGTTGAATTGATACTGATACATCACTTGTTCTTTTAGCATTAGCTATTTAAATAGTACAAAATTTAACCACTTTTCCCAGAATAAAGCTGATAAGTTGAAAAATTTTTTTACATGATTTTAGTGTAAACAGTCGATAAATTGAATAATAAAAGTAACAAAACCGACGTTACTTTCTTATTAACCCCATGGTGGAAAAATCCAAGTACGTTAAAATCTAGGATATTTATTTTTCTTAATTTTCTGTATCTTGTTTGTCTGCTGGGGTAAGTAACTCTTCGATATTGTTAGTTTATCTTCACTCATCTGGCTAGCTTTTGATACAAAAATTTTCACGATACTCTTTTAACTCACGCCTAACGATTCTTTTATTTTAACCCTTTCGCGACGGCGGAACTAGGCAACGATACGCCACTAACGGACGGGTCGTCGTGCCATTAGTGCACACCATGAGTGTCTCGCGTTTTTCGAGCTCCCAGTGTGTCCGTGTAAAACCTTAGAGGATTTCGTTGGAACAGCAGAGGACTTATTGCATAAAGGGAATGTTGTCGAGGCCTTGTTCTGTATTTTAAAATAAATCTTCACTTCGAGTTGTTGAAGCGCGAGCCAATGCGACGCGCTTAGTGGATGCCGGATATAACCGGCGCTAGCCAGTGTGAAGCATTTAGTGGGTGCCGGATATAACCGGCGCTAGCTAGTGTGAAGCAATTAGTGGATGCCGGATATAACCGGCGCTAGTCGCGAAAGGGTTAAATACACAATTGATTCGTTGCATTTGACCAAACCGAATCTCCTTTGAACTTCGATCCAGATCGGTGAAGTCGACATTAGTACATTTTATGTTCAGTATTAAACGCATATAAGTTTTGTACATCCGTTAGTCACTAGTTTGAACTTCCTGTTTTAGTACCACTTCACTGCACTGTGTAGATGTATTGTAACGAGTAATGAGATTCCAATAATAATTAAAGGCACACACATCAAAGGTAAAAGTAGATGCTTGCGAATATTACTACGATATATACTATACAATCACAACACATGCGTCTACTCCACCGACAAGTCGACAACGACAACACGTAGGATCAAAGCCGAAGTTCATTAGCCTCTGAATCTACCACGGACGTGCCTTATGTAAAATCGTTGCATGTTTCGCGAAACCACAGAACATTCGGTATAATCACGAGAAAGATTCCAAATCTCGATCCCTATTGTAAAAAGACTTCATTGACCAACTTTGCATTAATCGAGGATCTATGCGGATGAAAGAGCTGAATGTTGCCACAACCCGATCGCATTACGATAGGAGGGTAGTTCAAAGTCAAACGATTTAAATGGCATCGTAGAGAAGAAAAGCGTTGGACTTAATTTTATAAGTCCGCTCCTTGAAGGAAAAATATGCCAATATTTCGTCGCAATCTCACAATTTCTTGTTTCAGCATTGTACACGTAGAGTGCCTTTCATATTCTACTAAGAACGCGCCGTGATTTCGTATAATTCCTCGATTTATCTTACTATCATGAAATTCCTTTCTTCACTTCGATACATGTAAAGAGAGGAAAGCTCTTTGTATTTCGTCCTTCTGCAATATTTTGTTAAAATTTTCAGTCGGAAGCTAGCGCTTTGCTCGAAGGCGACGCCAGAGCAGGAGTCGCAGGACGAGCAAGAAATTTGAGGCATGACGTACAGCGGAAAATTTCGAGGCTCCGGCAGGATCGTGCCTCTTCCGAGGCCTTCCCATGCAGCGCGAGCAGCGTGGAGAGTCTTCCGAGCGGAAGTGGTTCGAGCACGCAGGCACTTGTGCGTGCAGGAAGCAATCACAGTTCAATATCTTACGAGGACAGAGATGCTATCAGTCCGACATCCATTGGTCCTGTGCTTTGCAGAGCTAGGGCTTTGGTCGATTATACACCTAGTCCTTACGACAAAGAAGCACTGAAGTTCAAGGTTTGTTTATTTTTATCATCACCTCGTAAAATCATTTCACTCATTCCGGTAATTTTCAGTTCGTCGTTCTTGCGTTAAATATTTAAATAAGCATTTTCTAGAATAATTCAATATTGCTACCTGTAATTTTGTGTCACATTAACCCTTATGTCAATAACCGGGCACCCTTTTGCACATTTTTCTCACTTAAAGTATTCGATCTTCCCGGTAAAGGATTCAATATCCGGCCCGGTCGTTGTTACTTGGCACATTTCCTATACATGTATGCTTCAAGTTTAGAACTTTGTTATCAGCAAACTACTAAAATTGGACGATAAGGTAGACGTCAATTGTGGTTATTGACATAAGGGTTAATTGTGCATGCATAAGTTTCCTTGATTTTTCTTCCGTTCATTTCGAAAAGAACAATTTTGGACACTATATCTAACGTTTAAGTGTATTCTGAACTGATTTTCAAAAATAAGAGAATATTTCTTTTTTAAAGTGATGCATTTTATACGGTTACTTTATGACGTCAATAAGTTGGGCACTATTTAATCACACTTTCAGACAATACAACATATTAGAGTAGTATTTACTTTTCCACTTCTATTTATTTGGTCAGTATTTTTCTTAATTAATTGTATGTATTTAAAAAAAAAATAGTCAGTAAAAATGAATATTTTGGTCGATAAAAATAATTAATTGTCAGTATTAAATCGAATTTTGTCGGTACAATTTTGTTTATTTGATTGGTATTAACGTGTTTCTTGGTGTTATTGCACACTGGCCATCTATTTAAAATACTGACAAATTATTATGTTTTTTATGTAAATACTGATAGTTTTTCTATTAATCGATGCAATACTGACCACTTATATTACGTACTGACGTTCTATTTCAAATACTGACCAATTATTTAAAATACTGATTACAAATTTTTTTAAATACCGACCCAACAAATAGCAACCTTATTTTTCTATCATCCCTCAACATTGGTCCATCTTGTAGAATACGATTTCGATCAGATAACAGAAAGATATGCTTTAAAGAAACAATAATTAGCCATTTATCTGATTATTACTTTGTTATAATTTTTTTATTGCAAAAACATGTTTTTGCGAAGGTCCATTTAGACTAAATCGTCGATAACTTCCTTTCTAACTCTTTATTTATTAGTACATCCTCTTTTATAAGCCATGGCTAGCTTTTGGCTTGTATATTTAAAAAAAATCTAGGCACTACTAGTATTATTACATATGGACACTCCCGTTCGTAAATATTAGGACACTTATTGAATGCAAACTAAATCTGAACAGTCATTAGAAAATTATTAAGATCCAAAAAAAATATTCAGTTTGGAATCTTTAGCATAAGGAGCACATATATTTTTATTGTTATACACCTATCCCCCGATTTACACGGTACTTTATTTACACGGTTTTCAAAATAACGGCTTTTCAGAAATATAAACTTTTAAAAATAAAAGTTTACGCTGCGCACATACCTTTTTTGCACACAAAAAGCATTCATTATTGTAACGTAAAGTTTGCTGCCGCCGCGGATCTTTCATTGACGACCGGCTATTTTCGCCTTCATCGATCGCTCGCTGGAAACTAAACCCTGACCCTGAATATTTTTTGTTTTTCATTTTTATTTTATTTTTATTTTACATTTAAAATAATGAATTTAATTAAATCACGGACTAAATTATGCGCATTTTGTTTTTTCCCCGATTTACACGGTTTTTCATACAAAAAGCCATGATTTCGATTTACACGGTATTCTGAGGAACCGATCATCCGTGTAAATCGGGGGACAGGTGTATTGTCACCTTAATCCCATAAGTTCGTGCCGAAAGCGAAACAAAATTTAATGAAAATCCAAGGGAATAGTATAGCGACGACATAATGATCTTACCAATAAAGAAAAATAGGAAAAAGTTGTGGAACGAGAAGGCGCTCACGTCTTTTTTTTTATCAAATTTAATGGTTTATTGGAGATATTGATCTAAATTATAAAATTCGACACAAACTTATGGGATGACCTAATACTTAAATACTTAATAAATTCTAAAGAGAATGCAATAATTAAATTTTGCTTCTTTCCATTGCACTTCCTTCCTTAATTTTCGTAAATGAACATTTTCTGGATAAGTGTATTAGGAGTCGTACTTTCCTTGACACTGTAGTACGCTAAAAGTAGATAACTCTAGCAGTATTTAGAAATATTAATAGTGGATCAGTTCAAAATCAACTCTGTTTAATACTAAAACTTGGTTGTTCTACTATTGAGTTTACTACGTCTAGTTATAGTATTAAGGTGACGATATGACACTAACTTTGGCGGAAATAAATGTAATTTAGATCATATCTCTGGTTGGCATAACTCAAAAAATGTCAATTTTGATTTTTTTGCACAGCTAGATTCCATAGATACAGCATTTTTATCGTCTAAAATGGTAAATTTCTAACTTCCTTAGTTTCATACCAGAGTGCAAATGAAATTATACGATCAGTATTCAACTATTAGTCAAATTCAAACTTTAGACCGTTGTTCCTGTAAAATTTACATTTTTTTAGGTACAGTCACTATCACCGTTAAGCAGCGATATAATACTCTCTGTACGAACATAATAGGTGTCCCAATACTTATGAACGTCAGTGTAAGTATAAGTATACACGCCAAAACAGTCAGGAATCTGTTTGAAATATTTCTTTTGCCAAATGAGAAAAGAAAATCTTGAAATTTGATGACAAAGGTCACGTAAAACTAAGAACTATCCTGTCACAGATCCTTATTAACAATAATAGAATAGTATACCTTAACTGAACTGCAACCAAAGACACGTGTTACGATAGATGTCTAGCATTCGATGAGTGTTTTATAATCCTAGTTTTAGTGATTCAATGTTTCATTAGATAATGGAATCGTGTACACATATTTACACAACATTAATTTAATGTTATTCCCAAGTAAACTGTTAATTAAATACACAGGGTGAGTTGCGCAAACTGGTATAAGTAAATATCTCCGAACTGACGTGAGACATCAGAAAAGTGTTGAGACTTCTATCGTAACAGGTGGTACATTTTCCGTGGTACGTGAAATATTTTTAGATTGTGTAAATTTTGAGTTTTCAACGATAAATTTTTGACCCCGTGGCCATTTAGGATATGCGAAAGCGAATGCAGTAACATGTTATAATTTGACCTTCAAATGACCTTGACTGGCGAAATTGGTTTACTAATGGTGTCTGTCACTGTTGCTACTTACCATGTATTCGACACTGTCAAAATGTTACAACAGATGTTCAAAATGTTTTCCACCTACTTCTAAACATTTACGAATTCTCGGTTGAAGAGACTGTAGTATTGAAGTCAACATCTGAGGTGTACTTTCTGTACAAACTTATCGAAGTCTGCCCTTTATATCTTCTTTTGTTGTCGTTGCATTTTTCATTGCTGGTTCGTTAGTAAACCCCCCCGCAGAAAGAAATCGAAGGGCGTCAAGTTTGTTCAATTATCCAATAATTGTACTATATCATCTACATAATTTAATAATGCATGTTAAGACTGTTAAAAAGTAATAGTTACTGGAATTTTGGGTTCAAACATGAAAAAATCCTTTAGAAACTGTTATCATCCGTTGAATTTCCTTTAGATTTCCTTCAGACTGAAGTTGTTTTCTTCCTTCGAAACTTTTCGATGCTACGTACATCACTTCATAATAACACTAGCCAACTCGAATGAACGCATGTGTAGAAACTTGTGTTTAATGCTTTGAATTACAAAGTGTAGAGGTTCTGAAAGGATTCCACGTGCAATGTGCCAAGCAAATTGCAACACGACTTTTGTTGCAGAAGGGAGACATCATCGACGTGATACAAATGAACAAGAGTGGTCTATGGAAGGGTGTTTTGCACAGCAGGATAGGCCACTTTAAGTTCATAAACGTCGAGATACTAAACGACAGGGTTCCTAGGCGCGGCGAACCTGAAGGGCGAGGGAAGTGGGGCCAGAGGTATAGGCAGAAACCCGGTTCCGTTCAAGAGCTCTTGCAGAGAATGAATCTTCAGGTAGAGAGCAATATCTTGCCACGACTCGAACAAACTGATTCGCATTTGCATCGTTTCGAATGCAAAGTAGGGAACCTGTTTTTATACGTTTCTTTATTTGCTGGACCTTTCCCTTTTCATCCATATCCCACCTCACAGTCCACCTCTTCTTGCGTACACCTTTTATACCACGTACAATACACATTCCCACGGATCGTGGCGTGCTCCTTTTTCGTCAACACTTCCTTTTTCTATCTTCCTTTTATCCTACACCCTCGGTTCCTAACTTCTGCTTTTGTTGTGTTATTCGGTGCTCTTAGTGATTGATATTTAGTTGCCTCTTTTGTACGAGCTTATAAGGTAAAGGTACCAGTAGTTGACCAGTTTTTAGAAAAACGCAAAAAATAAGGTTTCTATAGGTGATTCTCTTTTGAAATAAAATGCACCTGACATGCCAAGACATCTATCGATTAAATTTCAAAAGAATTACATGTGAAATGAAGTATGCGTAGTAACAACGGACGTCTAAATTCATTAAGGTAAGTAATATGCCTCCATATTGCTATTTCCTTAACGTTTCTGTTAAGAACAGCTGCAGAACTCTTCGTGACTGAATTATTTACCTATTAAATTCTCACAGCGTTTTCTAAGTGATAAATGCAACGTTTCTGTTATTCTAACCACAAAAAGCAATAGTTTATTGGGGGGTCAAATTCTGAATCTTGTTATTCTAATAGTTTTTAGAAGTTGACCGGGGTGGTCAATTACTGACGTGAGTTATTTAAATTTGTTTACGATTTATAATGTATCCATTTTGTATTTAACTTTATTAGAAGTACAAAATATAGTTCTAAATTTTGTAGCATACTGCGTTTTAGTGGATGACCGCATGGTCAACTATTGACTGATCCACGGTCAATTATTGACTCCGTCCAGTGTCCACTTTTTTAAAATAACCATGTGCGTGATATTATAAACACCACCGGGAAATTAAAATGCATTTACTTAATTATTTACTTTAGAAATTTATTTATTTATTTAAAAAATTTTTTTTTATTTATTTTTATTTTTATTTCATCCATGGAAATGTACGGGCGATTATGGAAGTGGCCAGAGAAGCCTGATGTGCTGGACTATGAGTGGAAGGCTGTAGTTTCTCATATCAATGAGCCCACGAAATCGAGCAGAACGCGCAACGTCTACTCTGTTTCCGAATTGTACTTGTTTTATTTCTACTTTCCATTCTAATTATAACTTGTGCTGGTAATTGTTGAAAATAAACGATACTAAAATGATTGCCAACATTATTGCTTTAACCCTCCTTCTAGTATAAGTGGTCAACTATTAACGAACAGAGGGTCAATTACTAGTGTTTTCATTTTTAAGAGTGGTCAACTTCTGAAGCAATAACTGAATGTTTAAATATGTTTTTAAAATTTTTATAACATAACTTTTTGAAAAAATTGGTCTTGTTACATCGTCTAGAAGGGTTAAAGAGTATCCCCAGGCATCAACTCTCGCTATTTAATCACAGAGCAAGTGGTTACTATTGTTCGCGTGGAGGATTTCTCTTAACTGGTCAACTACTGGTACCTTTACCTTAAACCATGGATGTAAAATCCATGAATTAGCAGATTCTACGTTTCTTTCGAGAAGAATATTTAAACAACGAAGTTCTCAGTGAAGACAAATGCAATATGTTATTACAAACATACGTACGATTGCAATACGCAGAGTGTTCCAGGTTTCTTTCATCAAACTGTGTTAGCACGTTCGACAAGTGAAAATAAGAAGGAATGTTGTACAGGGTATCCTAAAAATTAGTTCCATATTTTATTGTTAAATAACTTCTAAATGAAAGGAAAGAATGTCGATCTTTTTATGTGTATCAATTATTGAAGCTTGGGAGCTAAACATGTAAAACGATATCGTCCATATAGTCAAAGTGACATGTCTAAAGGTGTCCGCTTTAATGTTAATTTCTTGGCGAATATTTCCTTTAAGTTAGTTTCTTAGCGTGGACCTTGTTCTTTAAGAAATTCCAAAGAGGCTGACTGGTCTAGCGATTTGGGCAGCCAATCGATGCTGCCACTTTTGGAGTTCAAATGGCCTGGAAGCATGTCTCTTAGAAGTAATGTTAGAATCACATGTTTTCTAGACCTAACTCGTCCACTTCGCGTGATAAGAAATTTCGCAACATGTTGCCAAAATATTGCGTAAAACAATGCTTAAAAAATCAATTCCTAAGCACGATGACGGACAAAGGTGTTCGGTTCTTGTTCAACACTGTCACGCACGCTTCGAATATCTTCCGCCAAGCATCCGGTTTGAGGATGGCCAGAAATTCTTTAATTGTTTTGTGATCAAACACACGATTTCGATCGAATTTGCCTCGTAGTTTTCTTACAACATTAGCGAACACTAATTTGGATTGTGCAGCGCTCTATAATAAATCTCCTATGTATCTACTCCGCAACAGTCAAATACCAACTGACATCGTTGCGTCGTTCCAAAATGGCAAGCAATTGAAGTGTGGGACTAATTTTTGGTACACTTGAAACCAATATTCTTTACTAAGATTATAACAAAAATACAAAATAAGAACGCACTGGTTCTTCGTACGATATAACGTGGGAACAAATTCGCGGTACTTATCTAATCTGTTTACACAGGTTGAGCAATGTAACTTCTGTTAATATCGGTGAGTTATACTACATATTTCGTATCAGGATGTTGCAAGTATTTTCGAATCAAGAGTACGTCGATATTCATTTTATCTACCACTGTGCAGTGAAAATTTTCGAAATGTTATGAGAGATAAAATCGTCTGCACGAACAGATTAAATAAATATCGTCAATTTGTTCCCATAAGTTTCTAATAGAACATTTAATAACCTATGTTTGCATAACATTTGTCTCTTTGTTTTTACTTACGGAACATGCTGACACAGTTTAACAAGAAAAACCTGCGGCTCTTCCCATAAAGTGGTCTCTTAAATTTTCACGTTTTGAATCACTTCTAAATTATACAATATATGAAAAATTGTTGTACATAAAAGTTGCGTGATTTCGAGAGGGTCATTAACTTTGACTGAAAGACAATTTTGTATTTTTAAGCGTTAATGTTTTCCCTTTTTTTTCTTTTTTAATTTGAAGGAATATGTAATTTTAACAACGAGTGAATATGTATTAACTTTTAACGACCCTAATAGCGAACGAAATATTTTACCTTGCTTTTTGAAAATTTGTTTTGCGTAACGCTAATACGACTTTAATTACGTGGGTAATGATATTTGTACCAGCTTGTTCTGTTTTACCGATGAAGTTAAGTGAAACATTTACAGTTTGTACGATAACTTCTTAAGTTAATTACTATCTAGGATACTAAATTCATGGCGGAAAGTATAAACTTGCTTTTATTAGTTACAGTTGGTCCCTGGAACAGCCAAAATTCGAATAATCAATGTTTCCGATAATTGATATTCGACTGCGAGTTCTAAATTCAACATTTTCAATGAAACACTTTCCGTTAAATTGAAACATACTGTTTTCATAGCCTTTTATATCTTACTTTGTTTATTATTATTATTGCCCTACTGGCTAACTTGAATTCAAAAGATTTACTTTAATTGTAAATACGGAACATAAAATGTTGAAAAATCTGCAAATGTAACTTATGTGGAGTTTAATTTTCGAGTTACAATGAATATACAACAGATGCGATATTTGGATCCAGATAGAATAGAAACCGAGAGAATACAACTTCGAATAACGTATCTTTCTAGGAGCACATTCCTGTTTTTGTATTGAATGGATACGAGGATTTGGAGCTCTTTCGGGAAATTGAGCCTGCGGATCTTGATTACTTGCGCATACATCAGCCGGAACATCGAGCTAAAATACTTACAGCGGTACAACTGTTACACGAACTCCAATGTAAGTAAAGAACTGTTATTTAATCCCTATATTTCTCGTTAATCGTTATTATTCTAACGTGTGTATGTCGAAGAATATCAATATTTAACATTGAAATCAGTTAATTTCCTTGTACTCCATAGACTTCTAAGTTTGCTTAAAATATTTCATCGATTCTGGTAATGGTAAGAATTTCGAGAAACGTTTGTCAAAGTAAATATGTTACAGATTAGACATTTTACCGCTTGAATGCACGGGAAATGAATATTGTCAAGGTTAAATTTAAGTTTTGTTAAAACTGCTAAATTAGTATTACACGTAGAATTGCATTTGTATTTATATATTACACATACTTACACATACACTACCGGCGAAAAGTTTGGAATCACCGAGCATTGCAATTTGCACAAAAATTTCCAGAAAAAAGTCGGCGACTTTGAGAATTTTTTATCGTTTGAATGAATTGGTACGAGATGAATTGATAAAAGTAGAATGGAGATAAACATCAAATCTATAATAAATTAGCAGCAGATTTAATATTGATGAAAAGTGGAAGGTGATTCCAAAATTTTGGCCGGTAGTGTACGTGTAAACACATTTACGTGCACGGAAGAAAGACTTTTTTCTTAAAAATAAGATGCACACGTAAAGAAATATGTTACCGTTGCTTGACGTATTTACTAAAGTTGTTAACATGTTAATTTGAATTTTCTTCGTGTTAAAACATCTAAACGATTAATAAAAGTTAGTAAGTCTTTCTGCCTGTTCGCGAATATACCGTAGCTTTGAAGGCAACACATGAAAGTATAGCTTTGGTTTTGTTCTGTCTTAATAGCTGGAAGCGAGGGTGAGTTAGCTTCAAGCTCAGAGGGCGACGAGGTGAGTCGACTGGTCTTAACCTCTGGCCAGACATCCGGCCATTGTTCACCGTTTAATCGTCGCCAGTTCCCACGGGACTCTGGCTGTTACGACGCTCACAAGAATCCCACCAGTCGGCGAACCGTAAGCCCAGAATCGGCGACAAGCTCTAAGCTGCCCAGAGAAAATAATCTCGATGCTACAGCGCCTACGAAGAACGTCAGCGGCATTGGCACAGAAGGAGGCGCTGTTTCCGATGGCAAAGATGACTTCCATCCTAACATACCAATCACTGGCAACGTAACTGCTCAAAAAGAGGGTCAGTTCGATAAGTCACCGTTGCTGCGTAGCGGAAATGTTCGATTTATCGCAAAAAGGGGGAACTTTGGCGAAACTGTGGTAATCGAAGACGCTTGCGAAAGCGGACAGAAACTTGGGGGTGTAGCGAAGTACGTAGTTGGAAGCAGCGACCTTGGCCTTGAGGGTACCGGCAATGTTGCTGGTCTTGGTCAAAGGGGTTGCCTGAGCGAGAAATCTAGCGATTCTGGTGTTAGTTCTTCCAGCATCAGTTCAGCTCCGCCACCTAGGGATAAAGTTCTTGCTAACGTTGCTTTAGATTCACCCACTAAAAACTTTAGTAATTTTACCAGAGCATCTCCAACTTCTCAAGCAGCTAATAATAAGAATCAGACTGGCGAGGCTAGTTACGAGTGAAAAGCAATATAGAGATGTGTAACAAAACTATAGAAATGTTTCGATTTATCTTGCCTTTATATTATATTTTCATAAGTTCGTAATCGTAAATTATCTTTCACGATAGAATTTGACGACTTGGAGATTGTTAACGCCTAATGTTATCGGAGTTCTTCTGCTGTGTCGTAAGTACTCTACTCTATTTACCGAAGTTTAGTCTTTTTGACGCGCGTCCATTTGGACAGATTAGAAGACACACCGTAACCAATGGTTTTCGTACGGGGACAACCATCGAAATCCTTTGCAAAATGAGAAGGACAATGTTGAAATACAATACGGTGAAAGTTTCGACAGTTAAATGAATATACGAAGCCCTGACATGTCAGTTCAGTATGCGAAAATAATAAAAGGGTTGTTATAAAGGTATGTTAAATTTCACCTCGTTTAATAACAAGCTCGAACTATTATACAGTGAAAAAAGGAATTACACCTTTAAGGAAGGATGCTTCGAGGAGCGATAGTTTATTGAACCAATAGCAGATATAATTGAAAAAAAATGTTATGTAATAGTACTTATATTTAGATATTCTAATCCAGTTTATCAAACGAATTGATAGGTGAAAATGACTGAAAATTAAAAGCCAATTTAAGTACTTGTACAATTTTTCTGTTCGTCTATCTCAAAATCTACTGTAACGTGCTACTCAGTGTCCAGTATATACTGCAAATATTACAGTGTAGAATTTTTTCACTTTGCTTGCACCCTGTATGAAATAGAATTGTATCAATATCTACACTGGATCGAAACAAGTAACGAGGTGCCTTGTTACCCTTAGTTGCCTTAGCGATCCTTTCTCCTCGTTACTCTAGAAACTAAAAGTATACAGCTACCTATTTTTCAACGTGTATTTTACTTCTCGTCTCTACCACTTCAATTGTAACACGAGTTCAGAGTTATACTTCGCTATTCTTATTCAGAAGTTTCCACAAATCTCAGTAAACGAGATATAAAACGGGTCGTAAGAAGCAAAATTTATACGGTTTTAATGAGGAAAATGTGCAATGTTTTTCAACGTTTGTACTGTATACGAATGGAAGGAATTTAGCAGCGCTGTGTGAAAGAAAACGAAAAGAAAATGTGCCACGTCACTGCCGATCATTTCATGATCTCGTCTATCGTTTTCGACGCTCATATAATTACCAATAATAATATGTGATAAGATTGCATTTACGCTCGCATAATTTGTAAATAGATAAAAATTCGCAATAAAAAGTGCATCTTCGCAATTTCTATACAGTAAGTTACAAGAGTAGAGACTAATACAATGTTTAATCAGAAATAAATAAAGAACTCGTTGATCTGTCAATTGAATTTGACGCCAAACTTTAATCAGCTATTTAATCTTTATCCAGACGAAATGGCTGAACCGTAGCTGATAACTCTTAGAATTAAAGACTGCCAATTCGATTAAAACGTTCCCACGAGAAAGGAAATTGTTCATCTTTTGTACGTTCGTATGTTTTTACTATGTTTAACGTCTTATTCACTCCAATAACATGAAAAGAAATATATGACTCGGAAATGAAATACTCGCGAGTCGGCTATACATATGGTTAAATATGAAAATTCAACCAGAGCACTTATTCAAAGACTGCAGCTTTGATACGACGATAAGGATTTATTTCTAGATAATTACCGGTCACACATATTTTATCTTTACTTTAGAGTTCAAAGTGTGTGAAAATCGAAAGCCACGGACTTTTGAAGAATAATAAAGTAACGCATATGCGATGAGTTTAAACGCAAGGTTTTCTTTACTAAAAAAAAATAGCTTCTTATAATGATCACTATATTTCCCATTATATGTATTGTATTTTATAACTTCATGTTAGCAATATAGGACTCTTACAAAGTAGTTATTAACCTTTTCGCATGAAAAAAAAAAAAAAATGATTTCGATCCTTAAGAAGGATAATATAATAGTTAAGCTAACAGAGAATATTACCCAACTGATGCACACCGATGTTAATAAAACTTTGCATATAGTCAGAGAATCAGAAACTATTAGATAAAACATAACACGTATTTTTCTTATCGGTGAACATTCATGTTAACGGGATCGTATTACCTTTCAGCATTGGGGATTGCAAAATTATTAATTGGAATAACACGAAAATAAACGAAGGGGAGCAAAGGGGGTAATATGAAATTTGCCTGGTTTTTCGCGAGGGAAAATCTGATATAAGCAAAACTTGTGATAAATCACAAAGAACGCCGCCACAGTCGCAAATATCATATTTTTGAAAATATCTTTTATACATTTTTTTTTTTCTTTTTTGTCAAAAATTTGTATCGACAGTTTATATTTTCTCAATGCGATTGTGGAATCTGATATTTTTTCATGTATTGTAGATACTTTGATGATATTCTGTGCTTGAATTTGAAGATATTACCTCTTCTCTGACATTTTCTCGAAACGAAGGTTTATCGCATATTATTAAATGTATTGTAATACTTGATCGACATTGTATAAGGTTTAATTATTTAATTAATTTAATTCATTATAGAAATTGCAAAATTGGGGCGATCGATTTATTAATGTAATATAATCGTCACATTTTATACACTGAACGAAAATATCATTTTCAGAGAAATCTTTGAAATGTAAATGTTTTATAGCAAGAACGTTTTATGACTGTTACTTTATTACATGTTTTTATACTATCTACAAGTCAAACAGTGTTAGATTTTGAAAAATGCCTGGTGTTTAAAATATAACATTCCAACATTTATCCAATTTTCTCGAAAGTTAAGCTTCTTATGAAAAAATTTTATTCTATATTGTCAGTTTATTTTTATGTAATACCACACCCTGCATTATGAATCTCTGTTTCGAGATCTTACAGTCTAATCATACGGTAGAAATTTAGTTTATTTAGTTTTATTAGAATCATGAAAGAATCTGCGATGAAGTAAAAAATAGCATATTCGTCAATCAGTCTCCGTGGATAGTAAGAAGATATTGTAATCTTGTTAAGAAAGTATCAATGTTTTTGCACTTCTCAGTAATTTGAAAAAATTGGAAAGGCCGTTATTTGTTAGATTCATTTTGTAACTAACTTGCCACCTGTGATTTATCACAATTTTTCTGTCAGGCTTTTCCTTATGAAAAACCAACAAAATGTTGCACTCGATACGTGAGCGGATAATAAAGTTAGGCCGATCTAACGATTGCTTGAAACTTTATTCTATTAAAACGGACACGATGGCGAACGCTAATGAACTGTTCACCCCGTGTCGCACACTCGTTTTGTATTCAGTCATTCCCACGTTCACTCTCGGCATCTTCGCCTTTCGGCGAAAATCATACACGCGCGGCTCGCGTCTTTGATAATACGAGCGCACAGTTTTCAATGACCATCGCGGTAACGACTTTAATTAATAATTTTGTAATAAATAATTTGTAACATCGGATGATAATTTGTCTCTTTAACATAATTATTTACCGATAAAGAAGTTATTTATCCAATACTTTCAAATTCATCAAAGTCAGCGAGTTTTAGTTGGATGATAGTCTTTGCATGTAATTAAACCATGTAAAATGGTTGAATTTATTTTCTGAATGATTTGCTACTAGATAATTGTCTATAATATTGTTTCATCCGATCTTGAAACGGCTAATAGATTTAAAACAATCTTTCTTTATCATTTTCCTGTAAATTCTCCATTTGGAACAACCTCATTACTAGTACATGATCGACAATCCCCATCATCGATGCAACTTAGTTCTTCGAGAAGATGGTAGCCTGTACATGTGTATATTGACCATACCAGAAGAAACGTTTAAAGTTATAAAGTTTTTGTATGTATATACAGCACACATAGAAACCTAACAGTGTTTTATATTGGCCGAGACTGCCAAAACTTTAGATAATACAGATCTATACATAAATATACATATGTTATATATCATACCGTTGGATCTTATGTACATCTCTTGTATAGTGTAAAATGGAAAACGAATTTAAAGCAACACAGAACGAGATCAGGAATGAAACAGATTGAGACTCGTGAGAAATACTGAAAGGACATGTTTATCAAAATATGATTTATTACTGTAAATAGAATATATTAGACTGTATTCGTTTCGGAAAGAGCGATTCGATGCTTAGCGAAAATGGCGGAGACTGATGAGGAAACGTTAGACATCTTATAGATCTTAAGATGCATGTTTACCTTCTTCATAATTATCGATTTATAAGTAGCCTTAGGATACGTACACCTTTTGTAACAA